AGTTTAACGTTGAATATTATTTATGATTTTGTAGTCATTGTTGTTTTGGTAAGATTTAAAAAAAATAGTTTTTCCATTTTTTTACAAAAACCTTATTTTTTTCTTGACAGTTCTCGCATTTGTTATATTGTCGTTTACTTGTTATTATTAACGTAGAAACTCTGCTAGTTTCAGAAATTCAAATTTTAAAAACAATTTATTCATTTGTCACTGATGAAGTTAACTAAAATACTACTTTGTCTTAAACCTAGAAACAAGTACTGATCTACGGTTTAAACACAGAAGGCTAAATATTGAAAACCAATGTAAAAAATGTTATTTATTACACATCTTTGATTTAGAACCGCAATGGGCATATTAAGAAGAATGTGAAAAAAAAAACATTTGTAGATAGCGTGTTTCTATAACAAGTATCGATTTTAAGTTCAAGTCATAACTAAACACATCTACCTACTTCATTCACTTCAAGCAGTTATAATTTGATTAATTTTAAACAATAGTACTAACGTTCGAAATAAACGCGAGTATCGCCATTGTAATTTTCAAAAGATCAAAAATTTAAACAACAAAACTAAAACTCAACCATAAATGAGTAGACTCTGAACAATTATGCTGAAACTAAGCAAAAGATGCTAGATTATCAACAATAATATCTAAAGTCAGCCAGAAATAATAGACTCTAAACAACAATGCTAAAAGTCAGCAAATGATGCTTTTGTCTGTAGTTAAGCACAAACTACACAAGGGGCTAGATATGCTGTTCCCGCCACGTGTATCGAAACCCGGTTTTTAACGTAATAAGTCCGCAAACTTACCATTGAGCTACTGGAGGGTGCAAAAGATGCTAAATTGTGAACAATAATATTAAAAAGTCAGCCAAAAATAATAGATTTTAAATATCAGTGCTGAAATACGGCAAAATATGGTAAATTGTCAATAATAACATTAAAAATTCAACCAAGGGGTAGCTATGAATATATTTTGAAAGGTGATTTAAATATCATTTGTAGCTGAACTTGGGGTTAAAATGTTTTAATTATTCTTAAACTTTGCTTACCTAAAAAAGGAACGATCACTCTTAATCCACAAGTTCAATTACAAATGATATTTAAACCACCTTTCAAAATACAAAATCTATTCAGATCTAAAGACCTCTTACCTACCCCTATGCATTCCAGGATTGTTCATGAATTAAGTGTTTGTTACTGAACATACACGTGTCAAATGTTTGTTGTTGCTGCCGTCGTTCTACTGTTTACCATAAAACTTCGATTCCCGTCAAGTGAATCTGTTGCTATTGTTTTAATTGCGATGAGCAACAACTCTCGACAAAAACATATTTCCATGTCGATTGCATAAGAGTGCGTTAAAAAAATTTCCAAACTTTTCAAACTGTCATTTTTAAAAAAAAAATGCGTAGATTTAAGATTGTGTTTACAATTGTATAAATAATTTTTAGCTTTCAATGAACTATTATTCACTTTTATTAACTTTTTGCCAACGATTGTTTCATTTCTTCAAACTAAAACAACTTTTGCAGCTTTTATGCATTTTTTGTTTACACCTATTATATGTTTGTCAAGCATGCACATTTTATAGATTTTCAGCTCTACTGTTAACCGCTATCATTTTCAGCTGTCTTTCAGTATTATTTATTGTTCAGAATTTATCATTTTTTATTGACTTTCAGTACTGATGTTTAAAGTCTATTTTTTCTGACCGACTTTTACTTTATCATCTGTTATTATTTCATCCGTTTCAGGATCGTACATAAATATACATGTGGTAACTAGCAAAACTTTAAGCCAAGTACACCTGCGAGCCTGCGAACATATGAGAGTATCAAGCAGATCTAGTAAAAACTATCAAATCCACCAGACTCCACATTTCACACACACATAGTGGTTTAGTTTGTTATGAATTTCGCACAAAGCTACACGAGGGCTATCTGAGATAGTCGTCCCTAATTTGGCAGTGAAAGATTAGTCATCACCTCTCACCGCCAACTCTTGGGCTGCTCTTTTACTAACGAATAGTGGGATTGACTGTCACATTATAAGGTCCCCACGGCGAGCATATTTGATGGACGGGGATTCGAACCTGCGACCCGCAGATTGCGAGTCCAGTGCCCTAACCACCTAGCACTGGTGGAAACAACAACCACCTTCTCTTGATTACGAATTTTAAAGTCATATCATCTGGATCATCCAATATTGAACTTTAAATTAAAGAAAGTTTATCTATTATAAATGAACTCCCAACTTTAAATAATAACACAGCTTCACTAGAGTTAAGTCTGTTGTGAATACTTATTCCATCCCCAGTGGCATATCGGTATATCTGCGGACGTACACCGCTAGAAACCGGCTTTCGATCCCGCGGTAGGTAAAGCACAGATAGCCCTTTGTGCTTAAATGAATACTTGTGTAATATTGTTGCATTATTCTGTTATTTGTTTGTCTTTTAATTTACTTCATCCTAATATTCTGTATCTTAATTACTTTTTATAAAATGTTTAAACTTTATAAAATTTGTACCTAATAATTTACCACGTTCAATATAGCTTGCTGAAGATGGAGTATGTATATTCCGAAAAGTTCAAGATTTAAATGTTTGTTACTGTACCTACACGTGCCAAATGTTCGTTGTTGTTGCCGCTGTTCTACTGTTCATAATTAAAACAATTCTAAGCATTATTAAGTTTTAAAATTGATTTACTTTTTCTTTTTTTTTTTTTGCCTTTGAAATAATATTTCTGCAACGTCAACTTAAACTGAAGAATAAGAGTTATAAATTAAACGTTATTATATCAAAATATCATTTTCTTTCTAAATTATATTTTTCCTTTACTACTTTTTAGAAGTTAAAACAAACTTGTTTTACACTAATTACAAATACGAACATTGATGCTGAGCACACAGGGAATTTGTAAAAATTAACTTTCGTCTCATTTTACATGTTTTCTTAATTATTGTCGAAATGCCAATGTTTACTCTCCATAACTTCTCTTAAATATGTCATACAAACAAGAAAAAATGACGTTACCAGGCTAGTTTGATCCGGTTCTAGCATAGCGGAATAGGCAGCATGTGAATGGTTTTAAGAGAGGGGGATGGAAGAGATCAAAGATTAAAACTGATGCAACAAAGATTTTCGAGTACCACAGATCCTTAGAAAATTTCAAAGTTAAGTAATTCTAGTGTAAATAAGATACAAGAAAAAAACTGTTAATATTTTTTACAGAATATACAAAAATAAACTGTCTTAAGAAAATTCAGATAGAAAGATAGAATAAGGTTTAATGGAAAAACCCAAAAGAGTTTGTCTTAATTGATATCCAGTCAGTTTAACTCTAGTATTGTAAGGTTCTTTGTTACTTTAATTGTTATCCAACCAATTTAACACTAACAATTATTAATAATAACTTCTGAATTAAAGTAAAGAAGAATGTATAATAATATCTCAATCACACTATACCTGCTATATCCAGTGGCGACTAATTAAGAAAGTTTTTTTAATGTGAAAAAATGTAACAATTGTTGACAAAAGTTTAGCAAACGTAAATAATAGTACATTGAAAATCTACCAAAATTATTCAGTCGTAAATAAAAATCCTTAGAATGTACAAAAATATCTGAAGAAAACATGACGATATTTGGAAAGTTTAGAAACATTGAATAATACTGTTGCGTCAGCGAGGTCACGTGACTAGTATCATGCCACTTCTTTCT